GGCCTACGCCGGGGCCAAGAGACTCAACAACGACCTGGCGGGAGAAAGGGAGGAGGAGGGGGGGGGGGCGGGGAAGAACTACAAAAAGGGGGGCGGGGGAAGCAACTCGTCTCCACGCAACCACAGCACGGCCAATGGGAGCCTCCCGCCGGGCTCCTCGGCCAATCGGAGCGAGAGGAAGCAGCGGGGGGCGGGGCGGGGCCAGAAGGACCCGGTGGAGAACTGCATCCCCAACAACCAGCTGGGGAAGCCGGACGGCCTGGTGCGGTAAGAATGGCCGCCGAGGGGAGGGGGGGGGGGGTCCTATCAGGTCAGCATACCCCGAAAGACCAGCAGACTAGCAAGAAAATGACGGAGTTTTAACATCAGTTTTCTCAAAGACCTTGGACAATAAAAGGAAGCACTGCTCCCCTGAAACACGACTTTAGTCTGCAGATGTATTGTTTTTTTGTTTTTTTTTGGTACTAAATACGCATGCGCATGACGTCAGATTTTCGCATGCCCCGTCAGACCAGCATACCCATAGTTAACATGCTTAATCTAAGAGATTAACATTGACGAAGTTTACTAGACTACTTCATGCGTGATATGATAAACGAAAGGTTGTAGTTTAAGGTAAACACCCAAACTTACCAGAACACCACACCGAAAGTCAAGTACTTTTGTTTACAAATTAACTTAGAAATGCTATTTCTAACAATTTCGTATTTAAAGCATGTGCAGTCCCTGGAAAATTACAAGATATAAGCAAATAAAATACATATCAAAATTGTACATCAATTTGATCATCGATTGAACTGTTCCTTTAATCCCAACATTTAACAAGATTATCAATACTTTTTTTATGTGCTAAATACAACCTTGCTAGTAGTAAGCATCATGCTCACGTTTGATTTACTTCAATTAATCTGTATCCAAGATGACGTAATGTCCAAATCAAAATCAACGATTGGCTGGGCGGGAGGTGTGTTTTGTACGGGACATTTTGTAGATGCAGCTAGACCCTTCTGTAAATACACTTTAAACTACCTCAAC